TTCCATTTGTGCTGATGGGAGCCAGGTGATACTGAAGTATAAACTGATCACTTTAACTTCTGTATACACTCAGTGTCTGCATGCAGGAGGTCCTGCTTTGTTATGTAATGGGATTACACAGATGGGGGGTCTGCGGCACAGAAAACCCATTGTTTGGCTGCCGCCTGGAAAGTCACATGACAACACTTACACACCTGGTTTCGCGAGATCTTTGATTGGGGCGGACCTAGCCCAAAATGCATAAATGTATTGTGAAATCATGACTCGGGGTTCAGAAGTTGGATTTCCTGCGGGAGCTCTGGCTCTCTGAATCCAGCGCTGTGAGACTTTCTTGTAATCAGACTTTCAGTAAACTTTCTGTTGATTTTAAACAGTCCTCTCCTGTCGTCACTTCTCGTGCTCCAACAAAAGAATTGGGTTACTTTCTGACAAAGAGGTTAGATTCTAACACCGCGATCAATGTATGTCAGTTTGTTGCATCTTTGCATTTTTTTACTTTCCTACCTCAGGGCACTCACACATATGTTGGGCTAATTATGCTGAAAGAGTCCAACAAACTACTGGGGAACATTTTAAGTACTGTAAAAGCTGTTTCATCCCTAATCCAACTCAACAGAATTTCAGCAAAGATTGACCTACTGCAACTGCGAAGTGAATATTGATGTTTTTTGGTTGTGTCTGTTGGATCAGACAGACACTATACATGGGCTGCTTCTCAAGCCTCTTGTATGATTGTCCCTTGATTCTTGCTCGACTGGAATGACTTCCAAGTCAAGGCTGTTATATCTGCTCTGAGGGGCGAGGATCAGAAGCCATGAGGGAGGATACACAAGACCACCCGTTTACTTGATTTTTCTTTCCTTGAATGTCTTTTCCTCCTCCTTTGCCTCAGATCTGATGGGGACAGGACTAAAACACAAGGAAAAGGCACAAGTGAAGGAAGCACAGACAAATACAAGAAACTTGGGAAGAAGCTTGATGGCAAGTAAGGAAATGTTTGAGTCTTTGTGATTGTTTCTGTGCAAAATGAATTATGAACTAATTACATACACACTTTTTTAATTTAATTTTTTTTTCCTATTCAAAATGGTGGTGGAAGGAAATAGAACTCTAACTAGATCATTCAGACTACAGAGGATACATCTGCCTTCGACATTTAGAGGAAGATGATCATGTGACACACACAGTGTAGGACAAAAATTTGATTCAGGTCATTCACATTTAAAAGAAACTTGAATTTATGTACACATCAAATGGTTGCTTGTGCCTCCTAAAAGACAGGAGTGTAGACTTCATACATTCTGATTTTTAAAGTCAAATATTTCAGTGTTACAATTTTTGTGGTGCTTGAAGCTCAAATTTATGTATTCAAGTTACAATTAGGTTGCTTACAAGATTCAAACCATTACAACTACTGTTTGCATACTATGTTTTAAATACGAGGCTGCCTGAGTAGTATAATGCATGTGTCCATAATTAAATCAGTTGCCACAACAGGAAGCACCACTGCAAAATTAAAAAATGTGAGTTCTAGCTAATACCTAGCAAAAATCTTTCTGTAATTCTTACATAATGAAGAGAGCAGACACAGAGGTGACCACAGTA